GAACCCTGAACCCTAAACGCTGAACCCCTAAACCCTAAACCCCTAAACCCTAAACCCTAAACCCCTAAACCCTAAACCCCTAAACCCTAAACCCTAAGCCCTAAACTCGAAACTCCACACCCTGAGAGTCCCCAAAACCAAAAACTCAAAGCTCCCTGACGCACCTGGCCCCCATGGAGCGTGACGAGGGCCTGGGTGTCTCGAGGATTTACTGCAAAAAGGGTTCTGAATAAGTAGAACAGGGGCTTAGGGTATGTTGAAACCAAGGAAGACCATGTAGCCTCCCGACAAATGTTTGGGTTATTGGAGGCAAGGGTAAAGGGCGCAGGCTGTGTGTATCCCCATAATGTCGCCGACCGCTTGATCCACTTTGGTGTGGAGGCCATCCACTCTCTGGTTGATGAAGGCGATCTCGAGTCGAACTTGGCGTCGTACGCCAGGAACGAGTTCTTCCTGCTTGTCAGCCTCGGCTTTCATCTCCACCGGCATGTCGAGGGTGGACTGGTGTGCGTGTGTCCCCCATCAACTGTCTGGGCAGTCGTCCGGCACTTTTGCGGGCTCTCGGTTCGTTTGGCGGAGGATTTGCAGACAATGGGATTTCGTAGGGTGTGGGTTCCCATAGATCGCTTGTAGAGAGTTTAGGGCCCAGGGTTTGGGGTTGAAGCATCACGGCGCCGGGGTTTGGAGTTTGGGATTCTTTTAAAGCTCCGGACCAGGATGATCAGAAGATCAGATCTAGGACAGCACTAAGAATACTAAGAGGGGGCTTTGGGGTTTAATAAGAGTAGACCAGTCTCAAATTACATGCTCTTCGTGGGCTAGAGCAGCCAGGCTTAAGGGGACTGTGATCTGGGGCTAACTCACGAACGGGAGGTCGCAGGATGCTGTCATGTGATCCTATCGTGGGCTGTGGGACAGGCCATCACCTCAAATATGGCTTACCTGCTACACATCTGCACCTTCGTGAGGGAACTTGCTCCAAGTTGCGATGCTTTCCACAGCACTCGATTACAACAGATTCCCCTCACACCCGATCCCGGAATCCCTAGTTAGACAACCTGGGCAGTGTTGAAGCCATTGGTGCGAGGATGAAAGCGGCCCTCTGGGGGCGAAAGCGGAATTGAAGCTCTGAACCTCGAACCAATCAAACGGAGAACACTCCCACGGCTAAACTCGATCTTCGGAGTTGGCATTCCGGATTGTGCAAGAGCCGAAACTCAAGGGTCCGTGAAGGAACAAGGATGCCACACCGTGGGTTTCTTTGAAACATCCCATGGGCACCTAGGCCGAAGGCATTAAAGAGGACCCCCCAAGCCCTGAATCCTAAACCGCATTCTTGCTTGGGAAAAGCCTTAAACCCGAAATCCTACAGCCCAAATCGGAACAAACCCTCAACTTGAAACCCTACAACCCAAATCAGGACACCATTTAAGCCCCAAACACCTAAACCCTCAACATTTGGGTGCTCCGGCAAGCCCTCCTTCAACAACGCCTCGTAGCGCGGCAGTGCCTCGAGCTGGGGGTTCTGACGAGGGCTTAGGGTAAGAAAGCTTACTACGTATAGTATCGTATACCACAGTATCTTATCACAGATCACGGCATGCTATAATAAATCATATAGCATACCAGTGTATATACGAGGCCTACCTATAGTCTCCATCTGTAGTTGTAACCCCGAAAAGGAACTACAATGGAGACGATAGGTAGGGCCTGACGGGGTGGCTTCAGTGGGTTGCGGAGAAGATATCGAATTGCGCAGAGGCATCTCACAGGTTTCGAAGACCAGGCTTCTACATCGGGCTTAGGGTTTGGGGTGACATAGGGTTTAGGTTTTGGGGCTAGGGTTTAGGGTGTAGGGTTTGGGGTTAACAGACAAATCTGCAGCCGAAACCCGATTCGAGAAGACTTTTCCACATACTGATTTAAAAAGCTTGAGAAAGGCTGCAGAGCTGAGAAGCTTCTTGACGCTTAATCAAGCGGCACCGCCAGTGAAGCTCAATGACATCTACTGTAATACGGGCCTTAATAATTAGAACAGGGTTTGGGGGTATATTATACGTTAATGTGTGTCCAAAATAGTATTGGTAATTATTAAGGCCCCTAATTAATTATATTGCTTGAAGGCTCATGGGCCCTGCCCAACTTGGACTTCGTGCTTGGGTTTAGAGCAACCCTTCCTAAGACCCAATTCCTCCAAACAGCCAAGCCTGATCCCGGGGTCTCAAGAAGCCTTGTTCCCGAACCTGGGGTGTCTGGCTGTCCCTGCAAACCGGATTGAAATTTCGGGCGAAGCGTACATCCCTCCATCTGCACCAGCTGCACACGACCTCTTTCATCACATGGGCCTGAGAAACCAACAACTTCACAAAGAGCGGAGCGCCTGCTTGAGTTGTGTTGGCAAGGTTATCCATACCTGTAGCCGAAAAGATCTACCTTTTTAGGGCTCCTTGTTATGATTTCTAGATATATGTCCTTAAACAGGTAGGTCTTTTGGGCCCCAGGTAATGACAATGGTCCGAAGCATAGTAAAGCCTTCAGTCCAACGAACTCCACCCTAAGCCCGGCCCTTGAGATGCCCAAACCCAAACCCCAAAATGCTGATACCTTGGACCTACAATTTAATTTAGGGTTTAGGGTTTAGGGTTTAGGGTTTTAACCCACAAAACAAAATCAAGCCCCTAATGACATCCCAAAACAGCAACAGCCCAAATCCTGGAGCCTAATGCCAAACCCCTAGCCCCAAACCCCGAAACCCTAAACCCCTAAACCCGAACCCCATGGCCTCATCTCCGCACTGACGCTTCAGCGTTGCCACGGCTTCGTGGCAAGCCTTTCGCCATAATCTTCTGAACAACCCAAAGGATCCTAGGCACTGTAACATAGAGGAATTTGTAAGTTGGGGGGGGGGGTGCCATAGCATTATTGATAAAAACCCAGAGCATCCTGGGTACTGTTGTGGGGGATACCGTCCTTCATCATTGAAAGGATTCCTAAGAAAGAAGCCCTACATTCT